AGTCCAGCTGCAATTGCTTTGGCAATACAAATGTATAATTTTTGTCATGCCAATAAAGCACTCTTAAATTGAAATTGAAAATTGAGTGAGTGAGAGAGAGAGAGAGTGAGAGAGTGAGTGAGTGTGAGAGTGAGTGAGTGAGAGTGAGTGTGTGAGTGAGTGAGTGAGTGAGTGAGTGAGTGAGTGAGTGAGTGAGTGAGTGAGTGAGTGAGTGAGTGAGTGAGTGAGTGAGTGAGTGAGTGAGTGAGTGAGTGAGTGAGTGAGTGAGTGAGTGAGTGAGTGAGTGAGTGAGTGAGTGAGTGAGTGAGTGAGTGAGTGAGTGAGTGAGTGAGTGAGTGAGTGAGTGAGTGAGTGAGTGAGTGAGTGAGTGAGTGAGTGAGTGAGTGAGTGAGTGAGTGAGTGAGTGAGTGAGAGAGTGTGAGTGTGTGAGTGAGTGAGTGTGAGTGAGTGAGTGTGAGAGTGAGTGAGTGAGAGTGAGTGTGTGAGTGAGTGAGTGAGTGAGAGTGTGAGAGTGTGAGTGAGTGAGAGTGTGAGTGAGTGAGTGTGAGTGAGTGAGTGTGTGAGTGAGTGAGTGAGTGAGAGAGTGTGAGAGTGTGAGTGAGTGAGTGTGAGTGAGAGAGTGAGAGTGTGTGAGTGAGTGAGAGTGAGAGAGTGAGAGAGGGAGTGAGTGAGAGAGAGAGTGAGTGAGTGAGTGTGAGAGTGAGTGTGAGTGTGAGTGAGAGTGTGAGTGAGTGAGTGAGTGTGTGAGTGAGTGTGAGTGTGTGAGTGAGTGTGAGTGTGTGAGTGAGTGTGAGAGTGAGTGTGAGAGTGAGTGAGAGTGTGAGTGAGTGAGTGAGTGAGTGAGTGTGAGTGTGTGTGTGAGTGAGTGTGAGTGTGTGAGTGAGTGTGAGAGTGAGTGAGTGAGTGAGTGAGTGAGTGAGTGAGTGAGTGAGAGAGAGAGAGAGTGGAGACAAATCAGACCCCAACAACTACAGAGGCATCGACAACAAGCTCATGACAACACTGTGCAAAACTCTTAGAGGTTTGTGCTGACAGCTTGCACGTTTGAGCTAAACTTCATCTCCAAACTAAACACTGCAGCAGCTCACTGCACGAGCACAAACACAGCTAGACGCTTCGCCTCACAGCTTTATCAGCGATGTGTCCGCACACGGCCCTCGGACACAAACCAGAAGATGTCTAATCAATAACACGTGTATTACAAACCGATTCACTTTAACTGAAACTAGCTGCTTCGAAGCGCTGCTTCGGGATAATAATTACCTAAACTAATGAATCTGC